CCAGTTGATAGAAAGCCCAATCCACAGATCTTCCCTGAAAGACGATTCATTTTGGGAAAAAAAAAAAAAAAAAAAAGCTGATGTGGCTGTGGATGCATCTGGTACCTTTGCTGTCCTGCAGCCTCCTGCACTGTGAGGTCTGAGAGCACTGGAACTGTGCAGAAATTTTGTCACAAATGGTGGAAGATAAAGACGCAGATGTCCCTGGTTTACTTTCCTTCACAGTCTTCCTCCTAAGTCAGGGCTGTTCTCTCACTTTCAGGCATGTCAGAGAGGCTTTTCCCTCAGACAGTACTCTCACAAGATAGTTTAAGCAAAGGTTTTTAAGCAGACACCTTGAAATCTGAGACAAACTCCAATACTGGTCCCCGCTCAAGAGAAACAGGCTCCCTTGCCAATAATTCTCTCCCCATTTCCTTCTCCCACTTTGTCCCGCTTTCCCAATATTTGCAGAGGTATTGAATTGTGAGTTATAAAGTTTGAAGGAAAGGAAAAACCACAATCAAACCCACTGGCAGGTCATCAACTACAACCACTCTGGGTGAACAAACTACGAGCAAGGTATCATATTTACATTAGTGTACATACAGGTAATTCAGTGTGGTGCCATTCCCCCCTCATCACCCCACGTGGGACAGATTGAAACAGACAGAAGTTTTGCCATTGCTTTCACTAGGGCCAGGATTTCATCTGGAGAAAAATCCATGTTATAAAATTGTAAATCAACTGCACATCAAGGATGGAGTAGTTGTCACTATCACTGCAACTTTAAACAAGACACTTACTTTTAATATGGCTTGAATTGAAGCCAGGGAGCAATAGAGCTAAATCTGTGTGCAATGCTTTTCCACTTACTTTTTCTCAAGTAATATGTATCCAATTGAGCAACAATAACAAAGGAGAACCACACATGTACTCTTGCAAAACATACTTACAGCATTTAGTAATTTTCAATAGACAAATAAGACGTGACAGATGGATTTGAGAAAGTTGGGCTGACAAGATTTACTCATGTGGAAGCAAAAATCAGGGTTGCTTTATTAAAAAAATCTGGAAATCAAGGAATTGTTAATGGAAACTTTAATTGGGCTTGTTTATATTTAAAGGGTACAATAGCTGGTTCCATCTCTGTTTGTGCTTTTACCTTCCCAGGCAGAGGACAGCAAAAGAAAATACAAAACAATAAACGATACAAGAAATCCATCTGGAGTTAAGGTTATATTTATTGTTTTAAACTTTGCACACTCAACTTAATCACCATCTTTCTGAGAACTCTGTGCTCAATAGGAGTTTCCTGAACAGAATCTGTGACCTGGTCACACAATATAGAGACTTAAAACGAACATCAGAATTGAAGTCAATGATATTAGAAAAAACACATCAAAAAAAAAAAAAAAGAGAAGATTCTTTTTCTTTTGATACATCAACAGTGACATTTCTTGTTACTCTACAATCAGGACACAAAGTCTCTGAAGGACACAAGAAGAGCTCAGTGGTTGACGAGTTCAACTGAGCTTTCAATTTTATTGCTGGTTTTACCACATTCAGGCTATGATCCAGCATTTAGGGACTCCAATGAACTTTGGACCAGGCTTTTAATCATATTAATTCCTTTTGACTGAAATAAGGAGATGAGTATCATCTGAGCAAAACCTTTCCAATCCATGTACAAAGATGAAAATGCTTGGAAACTTGATAAAGTACAGGGCAAAACCCAGAAGCTACTGAACAGGAGCTTCACCACAGATTTCAGGTGGACAAGGATTTCCCTACTGCTAAAGAAATTTCCTTTCTTTAATATGCCAGGAGAATCCAGGTGATGTAACCAAATAACCAGCACTCTGTTTCACAATAAACAGAAAGAATCTCTTCAGATCACAGATGTGGCCTTAACATGTGCATTTGTACACTTTCTCTACCATTTCCCATCCAAACCATGCCCCGTAGGATGCTTCTAATCTTCTGCAAGACTGAACGATAAGAAGCTAAGAGGAAGTAAGAGCAGGAGTTCACCAAAGCTTCTGTCCAGCAACTGGAGAAATGGCAGAACTAATACCAGGCCTTTGAAAGCAAGTGACCATAGGAAATCAAGGTTGGCAGGGATTTAACCCTTCATGACTCATTTGGCTAACGTTTAAAGCAAACGCCTGAGCTTTTTAACCATGTTTGACATCTAATTAGTCGAGACAAACAAGAAGTTAAAATACATCCTTGATTTTCTTTTGAAATAAAGTACTGACAATTAGCTCCGAGGTATTTGTTTAGACAGACAACAAGCATACATCTTAAAAGAAAGCACAATGATGGTCACAGAAAAGTGAAGTTGCTTGGGTCCTTCTTTTCACCCTGCATGTTTGGGGTTTTTTTTTTCAATATTTTAAGTTTATTTTACTGAACCACACCTCTTCATGGAGATGAGGAATGGGTAACTAACTGAGTAGCTTCTTTTTCTACTTGCAAGCAGTTTAAATAGAGATGAATCACTTGGTATCACGTAGTCACATGGTGGTGAAGTATATCCAGAGAGATAAGTATTAGCATGTGAGGTATTCTGTCAGTGCCTAAAAGGCGTATTTTCAATACCCCAGCGCTTAAGGATGTTCCTACGCAAGGTGTTAACACTGATCTGTGCACTGAGCACTGTGCTGGAAGCAAAATTTGTCTGGAAAAGCACCAGCTGACAAGGCTTAGACTTCCCTGACTAATAATGATATCCCAATACCTGGGGATCAGAGCAGCAGCACTCCTATTGACCTGGCCAAGCATTTACACCAGTACTTAACATTGAGCATGTGAGCAGTCTGATCTGATTTTCAGAGTTACACGTTTGAAGTCAAATACGTGAATCAAAGGCTACAGTGTGAATTCCTGCAAGTCTTCAGATTTCAACTTGATTTGGATTAAGTACACATTTACTGTCTTCACTAGATAGGAAACATGGTTGCTTGCCATTTGAACACATTTTTGTTGCACAGTGACCCATCAAGTGCGAAAGAGTTTTGATGTTCAACTCAGTTTCCTGTTTTGCTCATATAGGACTGACCATATAGCAAAATTTGATATCTGATATTTTAAAAAATGAAAATGAGACTCTATCCCAGCAAGAGCAGACCTGGAAAACAACCAATCAGCAAAGTAGCAAAATATTTTTTTAAAGGGTCCATAGATATAGCACCAGTGTGGTGGGAAAAAAAAAAAAACTAAGAGAAAAAAGAGACAACAAAAAAAGAAAACCACCATCAGTCACATTTGGCAACTCTTTGAAATTAGTTTCTGTGCATTTAGCCAATATGAGCAGGGGTAGCAGACTTGAGCCATAGATAAACTTTAAAAGGTGAAAAAAAACCCCCATAATTAATTAGCCATTAAACCCTTTACAGGATATTTTTATAGCATTTATGCTTCTGTGTACTAATCTGAGTTTCAAAATGACTGTAGAAGTTTGGAAGCAATTAAGAGTTTTTTAATGAGTTTTCTGACATGACATGTAGTTACTGTAGAAGCTTTCTTTAGACTCCATTACTCAAAAAAAACAATTTTGTGTTAAATACATTTTTTTTCTCATTAACAGACTCTGAAACCCTTAAACTGTTCATTTCATTCATATATTTTCAAGTTTAAATACACACAAATATGCACATATGTGTTCTTTAAGAAAACCCGGCACACGCATTTATTTCACACAAAGCATCCAAGTTTTGCAGGTGCTTAATTCTTTATTTCATCTGGAGTGTGAAATGACGCCTGCCCTGTATCAGAGAGGACTTTCCCCCTCTCATTTGCAGCACAAGAAAGATGAAAAAAGAAGGAAATCGGATTTCTACTGGCAAGAGATGTACTGACACTATGCTGTAAACTGAGATTGACATCTATGACCAGGCATGCACACACATGTTCTCTTTTTCCCTCTGTAGAAGCAATGTGTCATTTTTCCTCTCTCCTTTCAGAACCGTAGCTGCAGCTCCTTCTCTCAGCCATCAATAATCTAAGAATTATGAGGAGGCAGCTCTTCAGAGAGATGTGTATGTACCTAGGTGTACAGCTCTCCGTTTAAAAAAAATACTCCACAGCTCTTACATTTTAAACTTCTTTCCCAGTTGTACATTCTCCAGATTTAATGAATTGTTCTGAAAATGTACTTAGAGTGGAACTATGCTGATAAAGAGAAGAGCCTGCCTGCTTCACTGTTCTCCTTTAATACTGGCACTATTATACAAAAGTTAATTACTGACAACTGCAGTGTGAGTGGCATTACACAATTTCAAACATAAACGTAATCTCACAGCTCTCTTTCTTCAGTTACACCTTCCCTGTGATCTCTAATGACACACATCAGACTACACCGAAAACAACCCTGGTTCAAATAAATCGCACTGCATTAAACATCCATAGGCAGCATTTTCTGGTGCCTAGCAGTCCTCTCCTCCTTTTCTGGACTGATCTGTTCCTTTCAGTTTATAGTTTCTTGGCAAACCCACCATCTACTGCTTATGTTAGGCATCTGATTGTCAGATTTGTACAAACTGAATATTCATGACTTGAAAATTAACCACTTCATGCCTAAAATATAAAATAAAAAAGCTATATAAATCTTTATCCATTCCATGATGTTTAAAGCAGATCTGAAATTGTGGCTGCACTGCACGCTCAGCAAGGGGGAGGTGAACTGGGTGGCAGAAAGCGACTCATCGTTTTGAAGAGTAAAGTCCGGTGAAATAGCACAAGACTGAAAAAAAATGCTCTAACAGGGATCAGCACGATCCGGAGTCCTCGTCTGCAATCGCAACTAACTCTTCTTTGTCTGGGTTTAAACTGCCTGGTACCGAACGCAGCACAGAGAAGCTTTTCAAGAAAATGTTTTCAGGAATTTCTTCTAATGTCAGTTTCCCCTTTGCAAGATAAGGAAGAGCAGTGAGGAAGGTGAGGAGGGAGGGAGCGACGGGGCAAGGAGAAAAGAGGTTCGGAGGAAAACCGAGAATAAGAGAGAACAACAGACTTACCTTTATATGATAATTTGAGCCTTGGCACATTATTCTTCACATGCTGGCAGTTGACTCTTCCTGCTAGTAATACTCCCAAGGAAAGCAAGGCAATCCCCCTGAGCCAGCCCATGCTGCAGCAGACACTGTAGGGTCCCCGCCAGCCGCAGCCGTGGCGCTCCCCGTCCTGCCGGGCGCCGCCGGGGAACTTCAGGCAACCTGGGGAGCGGAGGTAACAGGTGATGGGGGTGGGCTCCGCTCCGCGCCCGCCGCGCCCCGACGCCGCTGCCGCCGCTGCCGCCCCGGCCCCCCGCTCGCCGCCGCCGCCGTCCGCCGGGCGCGGCGGACACCGGCGCTGCCCGCGCTCCCGGAGCGCCTGACAATGGGAGCGCCGGCAGGCGCGACCCCCCCCAGCCCCCCTTCCCCGGCTGTCACAGCACATGCAAGGAGACTAAAAAAAAAAAGGGGGGGGGGAAAAAAAAAAAAAAAAAAAAAACACATCGCGGCAGAGATGAGAGAACAGAAACCTTCGCTCCGCCACGCTTGGCGAAGGCACGGAGCTAGACATTTCCCCAGCTGTTTCGTGTCATTGTCCAGGTTGTTCGGTTTGGTTTTGCTTGGTTTGGGTTATTTGGGGTTTGGTTGGTTGTTCGGGGTTTTGGGGTTTTTTTTAAACCGTTTTGCAGTTCTAATCAAAAGATGCACGTCCCACTTTAAAAACAACAACAGCACAACACAGCCCAAGACGTTGCCACCCACTTAAATAACAGCTCCTGCCCATAGCGTAATCCTCTTCGGGTTGTTCCCAGTTAAAAACAAGTAACAAAATCTCCCATCAGCGTAACTTCACCACTGAAGCTTTTAAAGCCTTGTTAGGGAAGGTTGCTCTAACCTCCCTCCCTCCCCATCTCCAGCACTACTCCAATTCAAGAAAAGAAATTCCTAGTAAAGCCCACTTCAACAATCAGTTCAAGACATGGACAGGTCTATAGGGGCTCATAAATTACACAGGAGTATTCTCTGAAGTGTTCTTATAAGTTGAAAATGTTCCAAACCTTCCAATTTCCAGGACTGTGTGATTATTGTGATACATTTTCGTGCAATTAAACTAGATAAGGATTTTTTTTTGTTTGTTTGTTTAGACCAAAGGATACACAAAATCCCCAGAGGTCTTTAAGGAGGTGTAAATACAAACATATAAGCAAACTCAAGCTCTCCCCTCCCACATATCTGAATAAACCCCTTCTAGTCAGTGGTGGTTTGTAAAAATCTCCATGCTGTACTGAATATCAATGTAATGTGTATTTTTGAATGGAATGTCTTACACAGATATGTACCCTGTGTTACATTCCTAATGCAGTATTGACAGAAACACTGGCAATCGACCTTTGTGAAATATTGGCATCATCAAAGTGTGATGACCTCTCTGTATTTCATTCTATGGTTTTCCAGAGCATGAGAGTGCTTTATGGTGACAGAGCCTATAGCATTTCAGGAGGAGTCTCTTCCTTCCTTTTACCACTGTTTACTGTGGTTTAAAAACCAGTTATCTAGTCCCACTTATGGTGACCACACCACACGCTGAATTACACAAACACAGCAGCTCTCCTCTGTGTTCAGACCTAGTTGCTAAACCAGCATTTAGGAAATAGTTTTCAATTTAGAAGTGAAATTCATAGTTGAAAAAGCGGGTGTCAGTATAGTTCTAATTAAAATGTAAAGACTTGTTCAGAACAAGGCTTGGTACTATGGTAAAACAAGGGCTAAAATTCTGTCATTGCTGCTTTCTTTGCTTAATATTCACACACCAGTGGAAAAGAAGGGGCTTTTTCCCTCTCCTTTTTAACAAATTCTTCTGCTTCCTGAGCTTAATTCATTAATCCTGTGGCATTGTATCTGCCAGATTCAGCAATTCTATTGATCAGCAGCATTGTTAAGAAAAGAAAATAAAAAAATAATGTTGATTTTGGTGATTCCCACACTTGTTATCCTGAGCATTTTCATGCTCCAGGCAGTGGATTAGAGCTCCAAAATGACAAGAGACGCCTGTCTGTTTTCCATGGATTACTTGCTACAGACATTCACTCTGCAAAGGAATTCATGTCACTTTGAGATTATTTGGAGAATTGGCCTAATGAATTATCCTTTTGTATTGAGCACACAATTAGAAACAAAACACAAAAGATTCACCATATTCAGGACTTTATAAAGCACATCATTTTGCAATGATGTTGTTACACTCAATTTACTTCTAGTTGCATAAAGAAGGCACAGCTACTTCTTTTTTTTTTTTTTTTCCCTCATAAGTAGATAACACAAAGCTAAAAACCTATCTTTCTCATGTAGAATGAAAGTGTAACATTCCAGACCATTTTACATCAATCAAATAAATAAACCACATCCCCAGTCAATAGATATTTTCCCCAGAAAACATATGGGTTGGGTACAATAAACACCAGTTTATCCAAGATTGCATCTGAGAAATCTAATAGAGCATTATTTAAGGAGAGGTGACAGAGACTTTTTACATCCTTCATGTGAGAGACCACTCATTTTTTTGCCTTCCTCTGTGGGATATGACAGTGCAAAGACATAGAGAAGGGTCAAACCTGATTCTTCTGCTATTTAGCTCTAAGTAGTGCTAATCAGCTAGTCAGGAGAGCATATGCTACACCCCCTTATAAGGAGAGGGGCAATGGCAGCACTTCAGTGGCGCTTGAAGAGGCTTTATATCTCACAGGCACCCATTGCCATATGGTGCTTCTGCCAAGGCGAAACTGGGCTCTGCTTGGAAGGAATGACTTGGCCAATGCTCTTACAGCCAGTGCCAGAAACGTCAACTCTGGGAATTTAGGGTGGGCAACAACTCACTCTCAAATAACAATCTATTCACCTTTTTTCTTTGGTCTTTTAAAAGAGATCTAGCTGCTGAATTTACAGAGAGGCAAGAAAGTAAAATCCAAACTTTCCCAGTTCTTCAGATAATACCCTTAGCCTCTGAAGAAATGAAGACCACTGTTATTAGCTTAATGAATCTTTCTATTATTGGGAAGCAAGTTCAAAAGGAATAACAATTCTTCTGCATTTTTCCCATATTTTTTGCAGATTTTATTTTCTGTAATGGTATTTATAAGACATTCTATATAGTGTTTTATGTTTCAAGCCCCAGATAGGCCCTTGTGAGCTCTGTTAAACATTTCTGCTCTCATGCTGTGTTACATTATGATTTGGAGGTTTTTTTATGCCACCTTCCAATATGTGCAGCAACTTCACATTGATAGATCTCACAAAAAGTTATACTTGGATGGTTCTGGGCTTTTACTGTTGACCATCCATGCAGAATTACTCTAACAATCACTTACAATTTGGCTTCGTTTGGTGCTTCTCATTACTCAGAAATAGTGTTACTTGACTCATGATTACTTCAAACCTTGCTGCTTGCTGTGATTTTTATGCTTAAAAGCTCTTGAAAGCTTAACTGCTCTAAGAAAGTCGTTAGTGTGCTTTAGAAATGTACTTCTGTTTTCAGAATTGTTTCCTGTGTTTTGGATGAGTCATTACTTGTTTATATGGATGTGATCAGGTCCTTCACAAAACTACGCAGGAATTACCAGAATCCGGTTTTGACACTTGGTACTAATCCAGTAATCTTTGAGACAAAGATTTCTTGGGTCAAGTGTGCAATTTCTGTCTAAAATCAGAGCAAAAACCCAAAACTTTTCATTCTGCATCTGATTGCTAAAAACCTCCTTAGAGAGCACACTCATGCAGGAAATGTGAAATCTTAACTCGGATACACTCCCTGCTATTTTTGTCTATAGCAGGTGAATTTCTTGATAAGCAAAATGTTTAGAGTTCTGCAAAGGGTCCCTTTGAAATTCTCAAGCTGTATATATATGATGATTCTCTGAAAGTGCTTTCAAATAACTCAATCATTATTGGTCCAAAAGGAGGCTCAGTCTAGAAAACAATCTTAATTGCATTTTTCATTTTATGTGTGAGAGACCCAAAATGCAGTGTCACAACGTAAGGACTTCAGAAGCAAAATCTCCTGTAAGAATATCCAGACATCATCTACCACATTTTACCCTAATGTCACAGGCTGCCACTCTCATGTGGAATGCCACAAACTTATTGTGGGAACATACTAGAAACATGGTGAACAAGAATGTTTAGAAATAATCCTTTTGGGCATACAAAAGGGGTTGTTTTTCACACAGTTTCAGTGCATGCACCTGCTAATGGAGTAAAAAGGATCACCAAGTGGTAATGTGGAAAACCAACAATGCAGAGGAACTTCAGATGTTGGCCTCTCTTCCTGAAGGAAACATGTCATGAAGCTCTACCTCTGAAGTTCAAGTCCTTTGCCTATGTAAGACAGGAATCTAAACCTGGAATCTATTTGACATGAAGCTTATCGCTGACACAGTTTTTCTCTTTCTCTCATGGAAATAAAAAAAAAAAAAACAATAAGGAGGAAACCTATAAAAGGCCTATACAGGGAAGAAAAATGCTTCTGATAGCCAGACCTGCTGAACTGGATATTGGCTATTATTTTTACAGTGTTGATGATTGTCACATTAGCTTGAGTAGTTATAAGTATCTGTTTCCACCTGTTTTTTAGGGGATTTAAAATTCTGTTGAGTGGCACTTTTTGAGTTCTGAAGCAATCACAGAACAACGTTATTAAAAAATGCATCGGCAAAAAGAGATGTGCAGGTGTAGAGTTAAAAATTTTGTGAAGCTGGAGTTGCCAAAATCACAGGCTTGCATTTAGATCTGGAAATATTCTTACTTTTGGAAGTCTAGACATGTCTTTTCCCAGCTTTCCCTTGGGCTATGTTGCATTTGGTAGCCTTATTCAAATCTCCTCAATCTACATAAATCCATAACATTTCTTATTATTGAATGTGATTGGGTTGCTAACCACACCAGTCAGTGTCTGCGTTCTCTCAATAACACTGCATCTTACCATCTTGTCACAATAAACTTTTCCTTCATTTCTCAGGACTAATGAGACTGTACTCTGTGTGATGCTAGTACTTTTGGCAGCATAATGGGATCTGTATCAGTATGATGTGTTTTATTCACAATGCATTCAGGTCTATTAAACACCTCATTAAATTCTTCAAAAATTTTCTTTGCATCCTGTTCTGTAGACAGGTTATATGCCTGTCTGAACAGCAACATTTTCAATTGTTCTTCAAACCTAAACAACTCTTTTCTATTCCCTTGGCCTCTACTGCCTGATGTTCATCTCAGACACAGATGTACAGCACCTGTGATA